GATGTCTTTCCATCTTGTAATGTCTCAATCTCTTTTTTCTGAGATTTAAAGCTTTCACTGTAGAGTTCTTTCCTCTATTTGATTAGGTTCATTTCAAGGTCTATTACATACTATGAAGGTATTGTGAGTGGAAATGTGTTCATGATATTCTTCTCAACGTGCTGGTGTACATAAAGGCTACTGATTTTTGTAAGCTAACTTTGTATCCTGCCTCTTTATTGAAATTGCTCATCATTTCAACACTTTTTTCTGGTGGAATTTTATATATATATATATATATATATATATATATATATATATATATATATATATACATATACATATATATATATATACACACATATATATTCTGCATAAGGATAATTTGATTTTTTTCTTTTCTGGAATTTTCTTCTCTTGCTATTTTGCTCTAGTTAGCACTTCGAGGATTTTATTGAAAAAGAGTGGGGAGCGTGGAAAGCCCTGTCTCACTCTTGAATTTAATTTAATTTAATGGTATAGCTTGAGTTTTTCTCCATTGAGGATAAAGTTGGCTGTGAGTTTGTAATATAAAGCATTTATGATTTTGCTGTGAACTATATATATTTTTAATGTCTATTTCTGTCATTCCTACACTCTCTAGGACTTTTATAATGAAGCCGTGCTGATTTGTTCTCAAACACTGTCTCAAAAGTATCTCTACCAGTCTTGGAACTCAATATGTAGTCCAGGCTGATGTTGACCTCACAGATGTCTACCTGCCTCTCCATCCTGTGTGCTGAGATTAAAGCACATAGCATCACTGTGTTGATTTTTTTATAACTTATTTGTTTATTTATTTTTATAAGATTTATTTTTAATTTTAAAATTATGTGGGTATGTGCACATGAGTAATGATACTAATTCTTATTTTTATGTCTTTGTTGTTTCATATATGTGTGTACTATAAATTTTATGATGACATTATTGCAATAAATAGAATACATGCTAACATGGATATAAAATACATGAATATATATGTGTATTTTGCTTATATTCACTTCCTGTTACCTAGTCTTGTCTCTCTCACACTCTTACTGTTCCTCTTCCTGTCTGATTTTTCCTTCTACTCTAATGTCTTTCAAATATTTGGTGATTCAGGGAATTTAGTAAGTACTGATTACAAGAGAATATATATTAGAGAGTTATTTGCAGGAACATAAGACCCTATCACTCTCTACACTGCTGAAGTAAATGGTTCTTTCTTCTCTGATTCCCACTAGCTACTTATAAATCCTCAGGGAGTGACAGAACAAAATGGACCCTTCCCTTCTCCATGGTAGAATGCTGAAGGATCTTTTCCTGTGAATGGTCTTGGGCCATTAATCACAATTGCTGGGATTTTAAGAGTGCAAAGACCTTTTCATGCCCAGAAGTGAACTTTTTATAACTCTCTACCTTTCCTGTATATCCTAAATTGTGTAAGAAACATTATTTATATTTATTTAAATATGTGTATGTGTTTGTGCATATGAGTAAAGTATCCATGAAGACCAGAAAGGAGTGTTGGATCCCCTGGTTCTAGAATTGCAGGCAATTTCTTCACCTGACTGGGGTTCTAGAAACTAAACTCAGGTCCTTGTCAAAAGCAGTATATGTTCTTAATAAGTGAGCCACTTCTCCAGTCCAGTCCTTATATTTCGTTTGTTCCTCTCTCTTTTTTTCTTTCTTTTTTTTTTTTTTTTTTTTGGTTTTTTCGAGACAGGGTTTCTCTGTGTAGCTTTGCGCCTTTTCCTGGAACTCACTTGGTAGCCCAGGCTGGCCTCGAATTCACAGAGATCCGCCTGGCTCTGCCTCCAGAGTGCTGGGATTAAAGGCGTGCGCCACCACCGCCCGGCCCTCTCTCTTTTTTAATCTCTCCTGAGCCTTTGAGTGAGTGAACTATATGTCACATTTAGGAGTGAGCATTTCAAAGACACTTTTTTTTTTACATTGCCTAGTTATAAATTTCTATATTAATCTTTGGCCATTGTAAAATGAAACTTCTAATACAAATCTGACAGCAGTAATCTGAGGTTATAAATATAAGAATCTAGAAGGCAATTAGATTATCATCACATTCCATTTCATAGCAACAACAGTCATGGTGATATTATGTTCCCCAATATATTGTGCACCCTAGTAAAATTATCTGGGGACAGACAACAGAACAGCCACTAGATAGACATAGAGGCCAGAAAATGGTGGCACACACACCTTTAATCCTAGCTTTCCAGAGGAGGCAGAGATCCATTGGGATCTTTGTGAGATCAAAGCCACACTGGAAACAGCCAGGCATGATGACACATGCCTTTAAACACAGGAAGTTGTGGCAGGAAGGAGAAAGGTATATAAGGCATGAGGACCAGGAACTAGACCCTTTTTAAGCTTTGAGCTTTTAGCAGCAGTTCTACTGAGATCCATTCGGATGAGGACTCAGAGGCTTTCAGTCTGATCTTGGAAACAATATCAGCTGAGAAGTTGGTGAGATGAGGTCATCTGTGGCTTGTTCTGTTTCTCTGATCTTTCAGCATTCACCCCAATATCTGGCTCCTGAGTATTTTATTAATAAGAACTTTACAGATTTGTGCTACAAACATTAGTTTCTACACTAGTGCTTATGACATGCTTTTATCAGTTTTACAATGCTGCTTATGCAGAGAAGGCTCGCTCAGGCATTAAGAAAACTAACTGCTATCACAGAAGACCAGGGGTCAATTTCCAGTATCCACATGGTGCTGAAACTCATCTCTAAATCCAATCTCATTGGATCTGATGCCCTCTTCTGGGCACTTCAGGCACTACACATGCTTAGTAGAGATGTTCTACAGATATACATGGAAAATATTCTTGCTACTATTATCAGCTCCACAGATAGGGACGGTAATAATCCGAGCCTCTTTCCCATCTGTGCTGGATTTTTAAAATTAGATTGATCTTCTAGAGTGCTAGTGGGGATAACCATAGCAACTGTGAGTCCATGTGAGTCATACCCATGTCACGCCCAGAGTCCAGCCCTTTGTGGCACTCCTCTGGTTCTAGCAGCTTTTTCACCATGTCCACCATGTTCCCTGAGCCTTGGGTGTGAGTGGTTGTAGGCATTCTGTCACTTTCAGTTTCCTTAAATTTTTTGTATATAATCTTTATTTGTTCCACATAGTTAATAACATAACGTGAATATGGAAATATTTCTATTTCCAATGAAATGAAATCAACATGTCTTTTAGTTTACGTTTTCCCTTATTGCAATAGCTAGTCACAAGGTTGAGATGTAGTAAAAGGTGAGAACAGATATTTTAAAATGGTTTCTTAATGTTAAAACCAGGGTTTCTTTCAAAGCAAGGTGTTGGATGAAGATTTTGTGTGATGTAGTTTTTAAGTTATGTATGAAAGTTCTGTCTCTCTATTAACATGTATTTAAGAACTATTGAACTGTTCCAAGTTAGAATCAAATACAGGGGCATATGGTGGAAGGAACTTTCCATTGGGAAAAGAGAATTACAGTGGTCTTTTGCTTATTTTTCAGTATACACAATCAAGGAGAGATATTTCTATGATATTCAATTAATGCTCAGGCTAATGATACCTAGTCATTCAGTATTTGTAATAATTTAATGATTACTATGTCATGTCACTTCTTTTCAAAATATCTCAAGCTGAAGATACTTGTTAGTGCCAAACTGGTTTAAGGAAAAGTTAACCAATATTGCCCTCTGTTGCTGAAAGTTTTCTTGTGTCCCTCCTTGTCCTCAGCTGCTCAGACCCAAGTAAACACATGCAGGCTTATATTTATTAAAACTGCTCAGCCATTATCTCAGGCCTACCACTGACTAGCTCTTACACTTAAACTCAGCCCATTTCTGTTAATCTATATGTTGTTACGTGTTCTGAGTGGTGTCTCCCAACTCAGCCTTCCTCTTCCCAGCATTCTCCTTGTCTGCTTATCCTGCCTATACTTCCTGTCTGGCTACTGGCCAATCAGCATTTTATTTATCAACTAATCAGAGCAACACATTCACAGCATGCAAAGTGATATGACCCCTAAGCCCTCCTATATGTACCCTGTTGTGCTGGTTGCTTTTTGGCAACATGAAACAAACCTAGACATAGTTAGCAAGAGAAACCTCAGTAGAGAAATGCATCCATCAGCTTACACGTAGAAAGGCTGTGGAGCACTTTCTTTATTAGGGACTGAGCTCAACTCACTGTAGTTGGTGCCAAACCTGGGCAATTAGTCCTGGGTTGTATTTGAAACCAGGTTGAGCAAATCATGGTGAGCAAGCCAGTAAGTGGCATTCCTCAAAAGCTTTGGCTTCAGGTCCTTCCTTCAGGGTCCTGCCTTGTTTCCAGCCTTGACTTCTCTCAGTGACAGACTGTGGCCTGAGAGTTGGAAGATTAATAAACCCTCTACATCACAAGTTGCTTTTGTACATTGTCTTTATCACAGCAATAGAAACCTAACTAAGAAACCTACGTTTTCTGTACTGACTTGTAGAATACTTTTGGTTTCCTACCTGTCTTTTCACATAGAAAGACTTTTTTTGTACAGAAGGAATCATATTGAAATGAAGATTATAACATAATAGCTTTATCCTATAGAGATGGCTATATGTATCTTTAATTTTGAGGCATTTTACATATTTTATTTATCACAGATGTGTGCCTGAGTGTATGTATGGGTACTGCATGTGTGCAGTACTCAAAGAAAACAGAAGAGGGCATTAGATACTCATTAGTTACTGGCAGTTGTGAACCACGTAAAGTGGTTGCAGGGAATTGAACCAGAGTCCTCTACAAGAGGAGCAAGTGGTGCTAACCACTGAGCCATTGTTCCAGCCCCAGTTTGAGGAACTGTTATTGAGAGACTAGCATGAAATCTGCCACCTATAAGAGGATAAGTAGCTGTTAAGAAATGTTGTCTATTTCATATAGGCTTTATAACTGTTAAGATAACAAGATTTTGTCCTAATGGAGGACAAAATCTATTTTTCTTGGTATTGTAGTCTCTTGGTCCACCTGGATTTATGAAAAAGGGTATAATAAGATCTAAGAATGAAGAATGGAAAAGAATTCAATCATTGCTGGCACCAACCTTCAGCAGTGGAAAACTGAAGGATGTAAGTTAATGAAGAACATTTTATTGTAAATGTAATAGAATCTATTGGAGGCTGGTAGAAATAATATCATACTATTTAAAGAGATGTTGCTTTGATCATTACATTGCTAAGAATGGTCTCTGTTTTTTGTTTCATTGTGTTGGTTTTTTTGTTTTGTTTTGTTGCTGTTATTTTTTCTTATAGAGTACTTTTAAAAATATGATGATCTTTTTATAATTTCAAAAGACTTGTTATTTGGGGACTCAGATGTTGCCATTTACCAGGAGACTATGTTGTGTTTTGTGCTTAGATGTTCCCCATCATCCAAGAATATGGAGACGCACTGGTGAAAAACATGAGTCGGGAAGTAGAGAAGGGCAAGAATATCACCATGAAAGAGTGAGTAGTGATGCATGCATTCTCTGGGGACTCTATGCCCCATCTGGAGACCTCCCTCTTCCTGACAGGTAGCTAAAATTTTTCTAGATCAAGAGTAAGGGAGAGGCATGATGTTACCCGGCTGTGAACCCACACATTAAATAAAACTTCCCAAAATACCATTTGAAACTCTCTCCCTTGTGTACATGAGACAAAATTAGGTTATCTGTTGCCATCTTGTATGTTTTAGAAGACAGTTATATAGTTTAGAATGAAAGAAGCAAATTTAGGAAAGCTGCAGATGTGGGGATTAAGAAATGTGGGAGGAGGATTTATGTGCTACATCAGAGGTCATTGGTTTGGCCAATGAATATTATAGCTGTAAGTTTCAACAATCTAAATCATCAGGATTTGCTGAGTGTCTTAGAAAAATATCAGCAAGGAACAAATTTCTTCTGCCTCTCTTTCATCCAACTGAAGAGGGAGAAGTTTCTGGAAATGGTGTGGGTAGTAAAAATTATGTTGAGTTCTGAAAATACCACAGTAGTATAATCAGGCTGTGTTGGTGATACTGCAGACAAATGGTCACATACTTCAGAGGTTGTATGAGTAATACATTAACTCACCTGCTTCTCTGCTCAGCATCTTTGGGGCCTACAGCATGGATGTGATCACTGGTACCTTATTTGGAGTGAAGGTGAATTCCCTCAACAATCCCCAGGATCCCTTTGTAAAAAACACCAGAAAGCTTTTTATATTTGACTTTTTGAATCCATTGGTTTTCTCTGAAGCTATATAGTCTATTTTCAACTATATTAAGACTTTAGATTTCTTTTAATTAGCATACAAAGTAAAGGGGTTCTTCATAGCATATCCATACACAATTATTATCTCCCTCATCTTACCTTCACTCTTGTATAATCTGGTTCTTTTATTGCCCTTTGAATTTTAATATCACATGTGTTTATCCATCATTGCCACATACTTTGTACTTTTTTGGTAAATATGAGATAATCAGGTGATTTCTGTCTTTGAGCCATTAATGTCATGATTTATATTTTTTCCATTGACATATATTGAATCATTCCTCCATCTCTTGAATGAAACTTGAATCAAAGTTAAATTAATATGATCTACTTCCAATATTTTTCTGGTTAATTTGTTATGGATAGTGTATTTATTTTAAAATGAATGTAGAAGTCACTCACAATTATATTGCAGGATTTATTCTGTGACATTGTATCTGATAACATTTGTTTTATTAAATGGACTGCACATATTGATGCATATATATTTACAGTAGCAATTTTGTGTGGGTGGATGGTTTTCTTAAAGTGTATAAAGTGATTTTCTACATCCTTGTGACTAGCTTTAAATTGATATTGGAATATTGATGCACATTTGTTTCCTACATTGGTGTTTGGTGGTTGGGTATATTTCTTAGAGTCAGGAAAAAGCATTATGCTTGCTAATCCCATCTGCTTGTCTGTGTATTATTTACTTATCTTTTTATTTAAAGACAGGCTCCATGTATTCCTAGCTGGTCTAGAACTGCCTATGTAGACAAGATTTTTCTGAATCCCATAGTGATCTGCCTTCCTCTGACTCTTGAGTGTTGAGATTAAAGCATGTATCACTATCTTCAGCATTAGTCTGTGTCCTTTGATAAAGAAATATAGACTTTTAATATTTAGACTTCTTATTGAAAGACATGCACTGATTCCTGACATTTTATTGTTTTTCTCCTGTCTGGCATTGTCTTGGCCCTCTTTTCTTAACAGGTGTCTTAGTATCATCATTTTTCCTCTAGCCCCTTGTCTGTATTTACTTCTGTATTTACTGTATTTTCTTCAGTCCAAACCGACCTTTATATTATATAATGCAAGCAGCATTCATTGTGAAAAATTCTATATCATAACATAGCATAGATAAGTCTTTTTCTCCTTTGATTATAAGTAAGGATTTAATATATATATATATATATATATATATATATACATGTATATTTATATGTTTGTATATATATTATTCATATATTGTTCAGTAGTTCTTATTTTCCAAACATGAAATACAACTTTCTATGCCTTCCTGGCAATTTGTTTTCCATTTTGATGTTCAGGAGTTATGCTCATGGACCTGTCTTTGTATGTGATTTTGTCCTTCTTCTCAAAGCTTCTAGTATACTTTCTTTATTCTGTGTATTCCCATTTATTTTTAATGTAAAACGGAAAGTTTCTTCTCTGGTCTTTTTATCTGTGTAATACTCTTTATCTATTTTGGATCTTGATGGCCATTTTTTCTTTCATTCTGGGAACTTCATTTCTATGATTTTATTGATAATATTTTCTATGCCTTTGACATGGAATTGCTCTATGTTGAAAGTCATAGACTTTTTCTTATATACTCAAAACTTACAACTGTTTAACAAGGTGGTCACTGTTCATGACTGAATAATCTTATTATTCTGCCTTGTCTTCATGACTTCACCTTCTGTCTTCTATGTCATTGACTCTATTTCTGATCTTTTGCACTGAATTTTGTATTTGGCTTAATGAAACATTAATTTCTATCATCATTTCATTTTTTTTTTTTGGTTTTTCGAGACATGGTTTCTCTGTGTAGCTTTGCGCCTCTCCTGGAACTCACTTGGTAGCCCAGACTGGCCTCGAACTCACAGAGATCCGCCTGGCTCTGCCTCCCGAGTGCTGGGATTAAAGGCATGCGCCACCACCGCCCGGCCTCATTTTGTTTTTTTATGTATATCTATCTCTTTATCAAATTACATCTTAATATGTAGATTCAATTTCCTTATATGTAGCTAGAGTTTTCCTGCCTGGCCCACAGTCAGGACAAATCTCTCTCACCTGCCAGTCCCTCACCTGCTAGTCCCACAGACGCTCAGACCCGACCAAGTAAACACAGAGACTTATATTGGTTACAAACTGTATGGCCATGGCAGGCTTCTTGCTAACTGTTCTTACAGCTTAAATTAATCCATTTCTATAAATCTATACCTTGCCACATGGCTCGTGGCTTACCAACATCTTCACATGCTGTTTCTCATCATGGCGGCTGGCAGTGTCTCTCTGACTCAGCCTTCCACTTCCCAGCTTTATTCTCCTCCTTGTTCCACCTACACTTCCTGCCTAGCCAATGGCCAATCAGTGTTTTATTTATTGACTAATTAGCAACACATTGCCATACAGAACATCCTACAGCACTTATGTCTTTCATCATTTGGTGCTTCCTTTGGATTAATTCAGGAGATAGTCATGTGTTCATCTTTCTCCCTTCAGGTGGAGATTTTTCAGTGTTCAGGAAAGCCTTGGCTATAGTAGGGTTGAAGTGATGTTTTCTCCTGTTAGGCTTGTGTTCTGGACTCCAATCTCTTCTCCTAGTGATCCTCTGGTAGGTGGTCAGTAATTTCAACAATAGTTATCATCAATCATCAAACCCTCTATCAAATTAGTGTAGCAGTTGACTTCAAAACAGTCATTAGTCATTCTTTAAGGGCCAACTGTATTATGGAGAAAAGGAAGACTCCATTCTTTCTATACTGACATGTTATATGTTGTGGGTATAAGTAGAAATAAAGGGGAAAAGTAAGAAATAAGTCATGGTGGGACTAGTCATTAATAGAGTGTTACTAAGTGGGATATAGAGGAGCAGCAAAAACATCATGATAGAGTAAAATGGGGGTATGGAAAGATTTCACAGTTTGGGTTAAAAGTAAACTGGAAAAAGAGAGTGCAGTCATATCATGTAGAACAGTCCCAATTCTCAGGAAACTGAGCCACAGAAGTCCTGTAACCAGGACAGTCTGTGTTACTATGATGGAAGAAAGGCTGTATGAAAACATTTCCAAAAGCAACAAATTACATAAGATGTGAAAATAGAGAAACTGGGCCTACCTTCCTACATTGACCTTAGGTGTGATATAAAAATGAAATAATTGTAGGAAGAAATGCAATTTAGTGGATCTATTGGATCATAAAAGTAAATGTCCAGAATATTGGGTTATCTCATCACTGGGAGACCCTCTGCATTGTTCTCCCCAAAAGTCCTGCTCCATAATATTCCTTATATTGAGTTTCAGCATCAAGTTCTTCCTTGACCATCCCCCATGAGTGTTATATGAGCAGTTGGACCAGTGTGCAGTGGTTGGACCATGATTATTTAGTTTGATTATTTTGCAAATGATGTTTTCTTTATAATCATTGGTTTTATTTGTTACATTAGATATGAAAACACTAAAGTAGAGGAACAAGACTGTGTCAACAGTATTGAGGAATATTTTTAATCCCTGCAGTAGGGCCATAGAGGTGGGAAGAATTGAGTTCTTGCCCTATCCTACATTGAATCAAGATTCTTCCTCAAACCCAGATGCTAGAGTTGGAGTTCTATGACATGGTGCTAGGCTAGTATGCAAAAGGCTATGCCTTTCATCACCAACACTGCAATTTTTCTTAATATTTAGACAGATTCTATTTAGTAATCAAGTCTGCTTTCAAACTTGTGTTTCTTTGACTCAGCCTCCAGAGAAGACAATTGCAATTTATTTTCATGTATGTTGTGTGTATCATGCTGTAGCATAAAAGATATATATGCACCTTCTTTTTGGTTCTAGTCAGAGTAGAAGTAATGATAGAGTGAGAAAACTCTCATTGTCTAAGTAAGGATGTACTCCTTCAATTTCTCTGTTAGCTCTTAATTTCCATTAAGACTTCTCATAAAGTTAAGGGAAATCCCTGCTGAACCTAATTTTCTGAGAACATTTCTTAGGAAGGAATGGTAGGTTTTATCTGAAAATTTTCAAAATACTCCATCTCTGCTTGCTTGTGTGATTTGGATTTATTCTGTGTTGTGCCTCATTGGGTAGCCTACAAAAGAATTCTTTTCATGTTTCTGCATTCAGTTGGTAAGTGTTTTACTGATAAAATCACTTTGGTATATTTAAGTCACATTTCTATACAATTTTCCACTCCAAAATATATTCTGATGTTAGTAACAGGGCAATAGAAGCAACCAGATTCAACTTTCCTCTTTCCCCAAGTTTTATAAGTTTTAAAAATACCTGTGAGGAACTGGTAAGAATTATCTGATAAATATTTCATAGAATTGCACCCTGAATCTTCCTGGAGCTGAACTCTTCTCTTTGTCCTTTTATTTAAAATTCAATTACTTTTAGGAGTGATATACTTTCTATATTTTGTAATTAAACTCTTTTCTACCACAGTTATTCCTGTTGTTTTGATATTTCACTTAAATTATTAAAATTTTGCAGTTGGTGAAAAAAAAACTGTCAAATGCTTAAATTTGCATTTTAATTATTTTGTCTTTTTCTCTATAGCACTCTTTCCATTCCTTCCAAGAATATATAACAAACTAAACATCAGTATGTTTCCAAATGATGCTACATCATTTTTTAAGAAATTTATAGAAAAGACCAAAAAAGAGCGACTTGAAAATACCAAAGAGGTAAACTATGACAAAATTTACTTTAATCCTAAATTAATGATGTCAAAAGATACACATTCCTCACAAAAAGACCTCCTCAGATATTTAATGTATTTGGTCTGTTCAGTTTTGGTTGTAGTGTGCCTAGAACTTCAGCAATATCTTCGAGCATTGAGATTACCACTTGTATAATCCAGTTTTGCTTAATACAGCTTACATGCTGGACTAAGAGTAAGGATGTTGGCAGAAAAAATGATGACAAAAGACTGTCAGGGAGTCAGCATCATGTGTGAGGAGGTGCCACTGCTGATTTGCTAGTATTCTGGGGTTTAGAACATGGTTGCCAAAGGGAGTGGCACTATTAGGAGGCGTGGTTTTTTTGGAGTAGGAGTGGCCTTATTGGAGGAAGTGTGTTACTATGTAGGTGGGCTTTGATCTCATATATGCTCAAGGCACGCCCAGTGTCTCAGACCACCTGCAGTTGCCTGTCAAGGTGTAAGAACTCTCAGCTACCTCTCTAGCACCATGCCTGCCTGTATACCAACCTGCTTTCTACCATGACGCTAATGGACTAAATATCTGAACTGTAAGTGAGCCACTGGAGTTAAATGTTTTCATTTATAAGAGTTGCCAAAAAAATTGATGGTGTCTCTTCACAGCAATAGCAACCCTAACTAAGAGAGTAGGCAATCACATAAAACCTAGCAATCAGTTCCAGAAACACCAGTTGATGAGTATGAGATATTGGTTAGCAATATGTCAAGGAGAAAAACTACAACCATCCAGCCAGGCGTCTGTCCTCAATAGCTACAGGTGCTTAGAATGAGGGAAAGCAATGAGAAATGGTGTTGGACATGGCAGCATGATACACTACCCTGACAGACTTACTTAAAACAAATATTTTATCCACGACAAGGTCTGTCAGAGTAGCCCTGGCTATCCTGGAACCCATTTTATAGACCAGGCTGGACTCAAACTCAAAGATTAGCCTGCCTCCTAAAGTGCTGGTATGAAAGTGTGTACCATCACTACTGGACTCATGAACATTTTGTTCCCCAAAATCTATGGATCAGTGTTTGTGTTACTAGTAATTCAGACAACATTAGCTGAACTCTTAAATGAGCTATTTCCTCTCATGAGAGGTAAACTTCTACATTTCATCCTTATTTTTGGCCTGCCAACCCACTTTCTGCTTTTAAATTTTCTGTCTCCTTTCAGCACCGAGTGGATTTTCTTCAGCTGATGATAGACTCCCAGAATTCCAAGGACATGGAGTCCCATAAATGTAACTACAGATAATTTAGGGTCTAAAGGGAATGCACAGAGGGAGGGGCTGATTCTTGAAATGTAAAGGGGTCATTCAAGCAGAAAAAGCTTCCTGCTAATTCACAAAAAGACACAGACATGCTGTTATAGGCAGCAGACTGAGGCACTTTCTAAAATCATGGTGTATATGCATACAGAATACATTATGTTTATTGTACCTTCCCTCTGTGACTGGGAAGCTACAACCATGAAATCTCACCAACATGGCTACCTAACCTAAATTAACCCAATAGGAGTTGACATTTCAACATAGATGGGGAAAATTTCATAAGAACCCAACCTTAGATGAAGAGTTGCAGATAGTTCAGGTCATCTGAGAGAGAGATAATTAGTCTTCCCAAGGGATGAGTCCCTGATTGTTTATCCAATACTAAGTTGCCAACCCAGAAACAGGTACAAGTAGGCAAAACTGAGTAGATTCAGTATGTTATATTTGTGAGTATTTATTTTTATATGTAATAAAAATACTTATAGATAAGGCCGTAAATTTGAGAGTGAGTGGAGGTGTGACATGGGAGGCTAGGAGGAAGGAGAGAAAGACAGTAGTGAAATAATTATATTTTAATTAAACTTTTCAAAATCTGAAGGTCTGTTATGAGCATTGCTTTTACACTCTAAGAGTCTTCATTGATGTGTGGATCAGCTGTACCAGTCAAATGCTGATTCACAGTCTCAGGCAGGGCCAATGAATCAGAACCTCTACTTACAAATCTGCATCCAGAGGACCCAATCAGGAAGCACAGTGTCCAAATAGCAAAATTCACTATGGTTATTCATTGGAAGTGTGTTCACCAGCTTATGGGACTGTGGAAAATTATTTTTACTTTCACAATAACATAGCACATTAAAGGAGAAAAATCACAGTGTTTATATTTCCTATTCATTCTTTTACTCATTGTTTATTGCAGAGTAATGCTTCTTGCCATACATTGGTACTACAATGTGTGTTTTGGAAATTACAATTAATTAATTCCATAATTATCCCCACATTTGAAGTCAATGCCCAATTTTTTGTTATTTTCTATTATTATACAGTTTTTTTTAATTTAAATATATTTTGATCATATTCTTCCCCTCCCCAAAGTCCTTCAGGATCCCTCCACCCAGTGAACATTAAGTTCTTTTTCAAAAGCAAACAAAAGCCCAACACAACAGAAAATTACCCAAAACCAAGGAAAAATATAAAACAGTACCCAAAACAAACACTGAAATGTAACTAAATAAACACACACACACACACACACACACACACACACACACACACACACACACACAACTGTGGAGCCCACAATATAATATATTGGGGAAATAAAATGAGGCCTGTCCTGGAGTGGTTGATATTCCCAGTGTCACTCCATTTGGAAAGAAACCTGATTTTCTCTCTCCCAAAACATATAAAAGACAGTTTTTACCCTTTTCTCCAGTGACTAGGTTTTCATTTATTCTTTCATTTTCTAATGTAACAAAATAAAATATAAAAAGATAAAAACTAATATATCAAAGCTGAGGAAGAAAAGCTAACAGAAGAAAAGAGTCTAAAGGGAAGATACAAGAATCAGAGACCCACTCATTTGCACATGCAAGAGTACCATAAAAACACTGGGAGCCATAATACATACACAGAGGACCCGGTAGATACCTGCAAAGGCCCTATTCATGCTTCTTCAGTCCCTGGGTGTTCATATGACATTTCATCATGATGATTTGGTGTGTTGTATTCTTGGTGTTCTTGGTATTCTCATCCCCACTGCCTCATAAGTCTTCCTGACTCCTTTTCTGTGGTATTCCCTGGGCTCTGAGGAGAGGGATTTGGTGGAGATATCCCACTTAGGACTGAGTGTTCCAAATGCTCTCACTATCTGCCTATTGTCTGGTTGTCGTTCTCTACATTTGTTCCCATCTTCTGCAGGAGGAGTCTTCTCTCATGATGACTGAGCAAGGCTCTTATCTACAAGTAAAACAGAATATCATTAGGAGTCATTTTATCCATTCATTTCTTTTTTTTCTTTTTACAACAGTATTATTTGGTTTTGTCCTTGGTCCCTGGGATATGTAGTTGCACATTCTTGGTCATCGAATCAGTGCCAATTTTAGTTCCATCTCATGGAGTATGTCATAAGTCAAATCAGTTATTGGTTGGTTACTCCCACATGTATTGTGCCACCATAGTCCTTGCATATCTTGCAGGCAGTACACCATTGTACATAAAGTGCAGTGTATCCTCCTGCACCAAAGATGATAGAACAAAGCAGGTGAAGACTCTGTGTAGGCACCAGCTTTGATCATTGACAAAAAATGTCTAATTTCAATTCAGCTCTTTCTGATCTGGAGATCCTGGCCCAATCAATCACATTTTTTTTGCTGGCTATGAGACAACAAGCACTGCTCTTTCCTTTACTACATACTTACTGGCGATTTACCCCAATGTTCAGAAGAAACTTCAGAATGAGATTGATACAGTCCTGCCCAATAAGGTGAGTGGATGGTGCTGGGAGCCTCAGGGAAAATGTCAACCTGAAACACTACTTCTGCACTTGCATTTAGAATTACAGTAAATACAGTAATAATTGATTCTTTCATCAATAACCTGTGGAAATCTAAAAAAAGGAAAAAATTATGTGTAGAGAAAAACTAATCTCTCTAATTCTGTATTAATCCTATAATATGCAATGAAACAGTTCAAAAACATGCATAAAATCTCTTCTGATATTTTAAAGATAATCAAGTGTCAGTCAAGTGTCTTTAAATGGGTGTTTTGTCTGCATGTATATCTCTGTAACATGTGCATATCTGAAACACAAGGAAGACAGAAGATTTCCTCAGATTCCCTGTAACTAGACTTCTAGCATATGTGCTCAACATATGGGTACCGGGAACTGAACCTGGGTCCTCTGCAAGAACAAACAGTGTTCTTAACCACTGAGGAATACCCCTAGAACTTAAACAATTGACCTGATAGCTATGTTATTATTACTGGAAATACTTTGGCATGGCTGATATCAATAGTGTTTTGTGTGGTCCTTTCTGGGCAGGCTGATTCAGCTATGCTCTGCATTACTCCTCTCTCTAGTCACATGATTAGACTCAAACAAAGCACATCATGGCAGCTTTCAACTTAAAATGTTCACCTCTACATTATGGTAACGTCGGAGTCCCACAATGTGAGAGCCACACATCACATAAGCTGTCTTCTCATCTATGCCCAAAACTGAGTGCAATGGGGTATGAGGTACCTGAACTCTGGGAATGGTTGGATTGTCAATGACATGCACACAAAATGTCTTCAGACCTCATGCTCACCCCCTGTTCTTGTTTCATTCTGTCACTGTGACAAATGCCATGACTCAAAACAACTATGGGGAGGAAAACATATACTTCGTCCTACATTTTCACATGACAGGCTATCACTGAGGACAGTCAATGCAGGAACTCAAGACAGGAACTAGTAGGCAGGAATGCCTGCCATTCTACACAGCACTGCTTCTGACCAAGGTATTCACATACAGCCAAAGAAGCACATCAGGAACTATGAAGGTTGCTGACTGCCATCTGGCCAACTCAATGACATAACATTATCTAGTTGTTCTCATGCAACCCAGGGTCATCCACTCAGGAAGCAGTACTACCTGCAAATTGCTGGACTCTCCTACATCAATGAACAGTTAGGGCAACAACTCCCCCAGATATATGCATGATCCAATCTATTCTAGCAATCCCTAATCTTTCATTTTAGACCTCCTTTTCAGGTGACTTTAGCCTGTGGGAATTTGAAAGTTAAAGATTTAGTAGAGCAACATATGAAGTAACAAGAAAAAGTTTCTTTCAGGAACTTAGCATGGAGCTGAAAGGGTCTCTCACTAGAATAGGAATTTTTTTGCTCAATTCGTCTCCATTTCTAGGCTGTTTTACCATGAAGAGTTTCAAAGGGAAAATATTCTACTGAAGTTAATCACTCTAAGTTCATATACTATTCCTGTTTAATATGGCATTGATCTTTAAATTGAACATCTATAGTAATAAATTAAATTTAATCATAGGATTTAAAAAGTGTGAGTTGTACTCTGAAAGGATTGATATAGAATTTTAAACAGGAATTTAATGTTTCACACATTATATTTCCTCAGTCTGGACTTGTGGATTCCCTATATTTAATTTTGACACCCTTAACAGCTGATTTATGTTGAGTAAGATTGACATAATATGCTTTTCATTATTACTGAAAGGAAAACAGTACAAAGGAAAACTGATGATTTGGAACCAAAGTCTAAGCTTATGTGAATATTCTTCCATATTTACTTCACCATATATTTCAGTGGACCTTTAGTATGTCAACATACATGAGTGCGGTGAATAAGACTTATCAATGATAAATACAATCATTAATCTGGGTTGAATGTGGAGTTCCAAAAAACTTAATAGTACTGTGTAGATTGACATAAAAGTTAGTTTTAAATCTCAAACCAGCAAAGTCTTTTTTTTTAATTTTCCCAGGCACCTGCCACTTATGAAGCACTGGTAGAGATGGAATATCTGGACATGGTGGTGAATGAAAGTATGAGAATATATACAATTGCTACCAGGGTTAACAGGCTCAGTAAGAAAGATGCTGAAATCAATGGTGTGTTCATTCCCAAAGGGACAGAGGTGGTCATACCTATCTTTGTTCTTCACCAAGATCCAAAATACTGGCCAGAGCCTGAGGAATTCTGTCCTGAAAGGTACAAGAACCCTGAGAAAGGGAACACACACATAACCAGACTTCTTTCAGTATGTTAAGATGTCTCTTACTTTAATCACTTAAATATAAATGTGCATTACCTTGCTGTATGTAAGTTTGATTTTAGAATGCCAGTAGTACAAAATGATAATTATTGTAAAAACTACAGACATTTTAATGGACCAAAAATGACATTTCTATATTTTGTAATTTGTTTTAGAGTCTTAAACCTGTCTTAGTTAAGGTTTTTAATGTTGTACAGAGATACTATGACCATGGTAACTCTTATAAAGGAAAATATTTCTTTGGGGCTGCCTTATGGTTTCAGAGGTTTATTTAGTCCATTATCATCATGACAGGAAACATGGCAGCATGCAGACAGACATGGGGTTGGGGAAGTAACTGAGAGTTCTATAACCAGATCAGCAGGCAGCAGGGAGAGAAAAAAGACAATAGTCTTGGCCTTATCTTCTGAGACCTCCAAGCCCACCAGCAGTGACAATTTAGCACAAAAGGCCAGACCTCCCAATAGTGTCAGTCGCTATGAGCCTATGGGGCCAATTTCATTCAAACTACTACAAAACCTTAATATAAATTCCATTAATATAATGATATTATTGGAAATATTTTGAAGTGTGTGTAAATATTTAGATATTAGAAAAATCATCAGTTTTCACATGTTTTTACAATTGCTGGTTACTTTCTATAACCTCTATTTGCTATTTTATGACAGGTGCTTGAGTGTGTGTGTGTGTGTGTGTGTATGTGTGTGTGTGTGTTTCAAAGAGAGCAAGTACAATTACCATGATTAGGAACTCAATTATCTTATTTAAGTTGTGAAGTTTATATTTCTTTACTCTGGACTCATCCCAAAATATAGGAATAATTTCCCAAATATAGGAATCCATTGTATTAGACATTGGTGCAGGTAGAGGGGCAGAAAGCCTCCTCTCAGATGGTCTAAGGTACATCACTGAGGATGAATGTTAATATAATTCCCCTTAGTCTTATTCCTGTCTGTTTTGTGAAGGAAATTCCCTCACACTTATCCAGTGGGTGAGTCCTCCAAAGTCAAGTAATCTACTCATTAGAAAGTTGTTATTTTAATCCTTCTGGAATCTGAATCAGGGTATTCTGTTATTGGAATGTAATAAGCAGTCTGTGGGAATTGTTGCTAGGTTACCATTGTTGCCTCACTAATAAAAATATAGGATCTTATTTTATCTTATTTTTTTAAGTTTTGAGAATATAATTTGGAATAACATTTTTTCATTCATTTCCTCCCTTCATATTCTCCTATAGCTCCCTCCCCACATTTCTTCAAGTACATGGCCTCTTTTTTTCACAAAATGTTACTTAGGTGCTCATATACAGGTGTGTGGATATACATACATATTCCTATAAATAACCTGTCCAATCCATATCATGCTACATATGTAAAAATGATATTTTTAAGATAAATGCAGCTGAATCAGGAGGCCAAGAATTTAGACATGTAGTAGCATCTTTTATGAAATTCTTGATGCCCAAGGCCTTGTATAAGAATACAAACCTAAGCCATGTGTCTCTGGTCACATACAGATGGTCTATGTATAGTGCTTATTAGACAAGTAGAATGGAGTCACCTAACTCCTGTTTTCTGGTTAGGTGAATTTTATGTCCCTCTATATAGACATCATTTCCACCCCCTTTAGTTCAGTGGCTCCAAACTTGGACTTTATTTGTTTTGCATCTCTATTGTTACTTCTGCTTTCAATCATATAATATAGACTCAATGTTATCAGTGACTAGACCATGGAAGAGTAATGTAAAAGTTAGAATATACTGATGTTTTAATCAAATGCAGTACATAAGATGTCTACAGAAGAATGCCAGTGTTTCCCATGTGTGTGTATGTAAAATCTTCCCAAACAGGATTCCACCAAGTTCACCTTGCACACACATACCAGTACAACTTTCACTAGACTCCAATGCAGTTCTGTAAAATAGCTTAGAAATTATTTCTTCATCTTCCTTGATACTTAATAACTCTTAGAGAATAGATGGTTATTAGCCCTCTACAACATTTCCAGAATCAGCATTTTTATATAAATAATTGTGTGAGAAATCAAATTTTAATTGGACATAGGTCTGTACTTTTAATAGTTTTTCCACTAATGGAGGAGATGGAGAAAAAAATTCAGTGATAACAGAGTAGAGAAGCAGCATGTGTCCTTGAAAACCATTTCACTTAATAATTCTTGTAGGAGAGAGATACAGGGACTTAATGAGGAAGAGGAGGAAGAAGAGGAAAATGATTGGGATGAACAGAATAAAACAAGGACAGGAAGGAAGGAGATGATGGTGAAGAGAGAATGGAATGTTATGCCCAGATTGGGACCCCAAAGACAAACCACCACAGACCTTAGGTTCAGAATGCAATTAGCATGGTTTATTTCTGTTTACAAGCCACGGACAGGGAAGCTCGATCCAAAGCACTCACTCGTAGTCGTGAGGCCAGGAGGAACTTGCTTTTTCTTTGTGTGGCTGGCTTTTTAAAGGCAAAATCCACAAGCCCTTCAGGGGGGTTGGGGGAGTTTTGCACGGGTGCAACTCGGATTGGTTTATCTTTATCTCTGTTCTCTTTTAATTGGGTGAGGGTATGTAACCTTTGAATTTACTGGTTGGTGGTTACAATTTATTACTTTGGGGGCAGTCCAGCACAAGTCCCAGGCTTTGTCCTTGAGCCACCATGGGGGCTGGCTGGTCAAGCACGTACTGCACATAACTCTAAGTTGGTGAGGGGCCCCAGAAAGTAAACATCTGGCTAAACTTTAAGCAGTCTTTTGTTCATGGCCCTCCCAGAAACTGCTTGCTCAAGTCTCAGGAAACTGAAATTGAGGCCTGATCTCTGAGAGAAGACTGAGCAGCCTGTTATGGCATCTGCTTGGTCCTTTCAGGAATATTAAGGGTTCATTTATAACATACATGTCCTCATTCTCCAATGAACAAATCCCCAACTCAAGTGTCATGGTCAGGGCAATTCCTTCCTTCTTCAATTTTACTTTCTGATGTTCACACACTGGGAACACAAGGCATCCTTAATATTTTCAGCTGTAAAGACATGTTTGATTTCAATGAGCATTGGCCACAATCATCCTATTAACTACAGTAGCTCCTTTGCTGTAAATTTGTAAAAAGAACTTTAACTTTTAAATCTCTGTCAGGGACAAGGATAGAATCTCTAGTTAGTGGAAAAGTACAGACCCCCATAAGACAGGGAACTAGATCATCTTACAGTCAGGTTGCCTAGCAACAGGACATTGAGGCAGAGCCCTTGACCCTTTCACCCTGTAAACATCCTATACAAACATCCTGATAGCTTGCCCCACCTTATGCAGATGACAGCTTCTTGCTCCCCCCACCCTGCAGAAACTATATAAACCCTCTTGGAGAAAAATAAAGTTGCACCTTGATCAGAATCTAGACTTGGTGTGTTTCCTTGTATCTCCTGTCTCTATCATTCCGTCCTTAGGGTGATCGAACCCGTTGAAGCCCTGCAGGCGGGGCAAATCTCAAAATGAATTAACTCATGCCGATTGGACTAATGAACATACTGGAGTTACCTGTATGATTCTGAAAACTGTAAACATGTGGCTCTTGTGCAATTCATGTTTCATTAATCGTTCAATTGTAATATCAGGTTCAGCAAGGAAAATAAAGATAGAATCAATCCTTATACATACCTGCCTTTTGGATATGGTCCTAGAAACTGCATTGGCATGAGGTTTTCTCTCATTAATATGAAGCTTGCTATTGTCAAAATCCTGCAGAACTTTTCCCTACATCCTTGTGAAGAAACAGAGGTGAGGCAGAACATGTGTTTTTTGACATGTTTTTGTTATATATTCATAGGCATTTTCATAAAGTTGTGGATATATAGGTTAACATGTATGAAGTATATATGTATATATAATATCCTGTTTTATCTAATATCTAATTGATATTTTCTCTGTCAAAATATCTATATAAAGCTATGAGTGAGCTCTAGGGTCCTTGAATTCTGAAACAGTCTGTGTCTAAGTATAAATATTAAGATCATGTAGAGTCATTGAAGATATTCTTTTAATGTTTACATATAATATCATGGAATTTGAATATTTTTTCTTGTTACAAGTATATATGCCTTTTTAAAATAACAGACTTTTTATAGCATTTTCATACTTGTATATACCATACCTGGAAAAGATTATTTTCTTTTTATTTATTCTTCTCTCATAAAATGCATCCTGACCACAACCTCCTCTCTCCTTCCTCCCCTCATCCCAGTGCCCCCTCAAACTCCTCTATCTCCCAGATTCACTGCTCTTCCAATTCCCATGTGGAAATACCAGGCCTCCCAGGGATATCAAACAAACGTGGCATAAAATATGCAATAAAACTGGGCATAAATGCTCATATCAAGGCTGGATTAGACAACCTATGTAGCTTAAGTTTTCCTGCCTGGCCCACAGTCAGGGCAAATCTCTCTCACCTGCCAGTCCCACAGCCGTCAGACCCGACCAAGTAAACACAGAGACTTGTATTGGTTTCAAACTGTATGGCCATGGCAGGCTTCTTGCTAACTGTTCTTTCAGCTTAAATTAATCCATTTTTATAAATCTATACCTTGCCACATGGCTCGTGGCTTACCAGCATCTTCACATGCTGTTTCTCATCGTGGCGGCTGGCAGTGTCTCTCTGACTCAGCCTTCCACTTCCCAGCTTTATTCTCCTCCTTGTCCCGCCTACACTTCCTGCCTAGCCAATGGCCAATCAGTGTTTTAATTATTGACTAATCAGCAACACATTTGACATACAGAGCATCCCACAGCACTTCCCCCCTTTTTTTTAAAAAAAAAAAAAAGGAAGGTTTTAACCTTAACAAAGTAAAATTACATACAATTTGGGAATTTGGGCGTAGCTTCTCTTACTACTTCCTGCTGGAGGGGGGCGCTGTATCTTATGGGGAAACAAAGAAAATTTTAGGATTATGGAATAGTCCATGAGGGTGTATCGTCTGAGCCAGTTGCCTTCAAACCATTCTGGATGTTGGATCATCTGGGCCATGGTGTCATCGGAGACCTTTCAGGGGGTCTTGGCTGATCAAAACTGATGTGTCTTAATCTGGAACAAATCCATAGCCTCTGGCTTTCTGTGGAAACAAAAGCAGAGTCTCCTTTCCAAAGTAACATATCCTTATATCCAAATTTTGAAGTCAAGGTACCTTTAAAATATACATTTTGGCATAACTCAACAGCTTTTACAATCAAATATTTTTCTGCAGTTAAAAGTCCCAAAGACAACACAATGCAGATTCTCTGCATAATATCCATTTTTACGTGGCTTATTTTTTATACTACCTTTACTGTCTCTTTAAAGACTTTATTTTTTAAAACTATGT